AATTTATAAAATGAATTAATAAATTCAGTAAATTTAATATACACTTATAATTTAGGAAACTAAGAATAGGGCATTATTTTCCCTAAAAAACATAAGACCACCTACCTAAAAACCTATAAATAACAACAAAAAAAAGATTAGAAAGGAAGAAATAAAATTCTGTAAAAAAAATCATCTGAAACAAATATTAGACTAGGAATCTGCATATAAGAATAAACGCCCCTTAAATTAAACGTATTTCCATTATATCATAGACAAACATTTAAAAATGTAAATTTTAAATGGCAACTGAATTACTGTCTATTGATACTGTATTTTATTTATTTATACTTTATTTATTTTGGTACTGGGGATTGAACCCAGAGGTGCTTTACCACTGAACTACATCCCCAAACCTTTTTGTTTGAGATAGGTAACTTCACTATAAATGAAATTGTTTGAAAAACATTGTACAATTCAATACTAATTCAAAAGCTAAGTTGCTTAGGGCCTTGCTAAGTTGCTGAGGCTGTCTTTGAACTTTCAATCCTCCTGACTCAGCCTACTGAGTTGCTGGGATTGCAGGGGTGCACCACCACACCTGGCTTATACCTCATTTTATCATGCCTCACTTTATTGCATTTCATAGATATATTGAGATTTTTTACAAATTGAAGTTTTATGGCTACCTTGCATTGAATGAGTCTATGGTGACATTTTTCCAACAATGTGTGCTCATTTCATGTTTCCGTCCATTTTGGTAATTCTTGCAACATCTCAGATTATTTCATTATTATATTTGCTATAGTGGTCTGTGGTCAGCAACCTTGGATGTTACACCTGTAATTGTTTTGGGAGGCCACAAACTGCATTCATGTTTGATGGCAGCTTAACAAGTTGTGTGTGTGTGTGTGTGTGTGTGTTTTCTCAGTGTTCTGCCTCCTGGACATTTCCCCATTTCTCTCCCTCTCCTTAGGTGACCCTATTCCCTTAGGTACAACAATATTGAAATTGTGCCAGTTAATAACCCTACAATGGCCTCTAAGTGTTCAAGTAAAAGAAAGACTTGCACATTTTTCACTTTAAAATCAAAAGCGTGTCTGAAATCTAGATAGGCGAAAGCTAGGTCTCTTGCATCAGTAAGTCAAGTTGACTATAAAGGAAAAGTTATTAAGGAAACATGCTATTCCAGTGAATAAATGTAAAGAAACAGACACCCTATTGCTGATACTGAGAAAGTTAGTGGTCTAGAAAGAAGATCACACATTCCCTTAAACAAAGCCTAATCTAGAGAAAGGCTGTAACTCTCCTCAGTTCTATGAAGGCTGAGGGAAGTGATGAAGCTGCAGAAGAAAAGTCTGAAGCTAGCAGAGGGTTGATTCATGAGATTTAAGGAAAGAAGCTATTTCTATATTATAAAAGTTCAAATGTAGCCAGAGCTGATGTAGAAGCTGCAGTGAGTTATCCAGAAGATCTAGCTAAGGTGACTGACTCTTCCAGAAGAGCTAACTAAGATGACACGCAACAACAGAATTTTAGCACAGATGAAAACCCCCTTATGCTTGAAGAATATGATATCTAGAACTTTCTAGCTAGAGAGAAGTCTGTCTGCCTTCAAAGCTTACAAAGGATAGGCTAACTTGTTAGGGGCTAATGCATCTGTTAATTTTAAATCAGAGCCAATGCTCATTTATCATTATAGAAATCTTGTGGCCCTTAAAAATCATACCAAATCTACTCTGCCTGTGCTCTGTAAACGGACCCACAAAGCTTGAATGAGACCTACTACTCGGAAAAAAAGATTCCTTTCAAAATATTATTACTGACAATGGACTTGGTCACTCAAGAGTTGTTTTTTTTTTAAAGAGAGAGAATTTAATATTTTTATTTTTTTAGTTTTTCAGCAGACACAACATCTTTTTTATTTGTATGTGGTGCTGAGGATCAGGTGAGCACGCTACCACTTGAGCCACATCCCCAGCCCTCACTCAAGAGTTTTAATGGAGATACACAGATTTATGAGTTTAATTTTGTTTTTATGCCCGCTAACACAATATCCATTCTGTAGCCCATGAATCAAGGAGTAATATTGACTTTCAAATTTTATTATTTTAATAAATACATTCTGTAAGGCTGTGGCTGCCATAAATAGTGATTCCTTTGATGGATCTGAGCAAAGTAAATGAAAAACTCTCTGGAAAGAATTTATCATTTTAGATGCCATTAAGAGTATCTTTGAGAAGCAGACCCCGTCCCAGTACCTCGCTCAGCATGAACACCTTCTGCTCAACACCAGTCTCCTGTCTCCTGCCGACTCTTCTGAGCTGCTCACAGAAGTGCACGGAAATGGAAAAAGGCCCAGTCCAGAGAGAAGGGAAGAGAGTGATTTAGAAAGAGCCTCCTGCCAAGAAAGCGTGTGCAATCAGGCTTGTTCCTGGGCACAGTCCTGCCCTCACTGTGCCCCTCATGAATCAGGGGGCCAGTTCCATCCTCCTCCTTCACCTCCTCCGCAGTACACCTTAGAAGACATTCCAACTTCTCACCCATATCAGGAACCTAACAAGATGCTAGAACACCGAGAAGTGTGAGAGGCACCCAGTATTGGTCTAAATGGAGGCCATCAGGAGGAGTGGGTAGACGCCCATTTGACAGAAAGGGAAGGATCTGATGAACGGAAGCATCTTGACCATGCCCTGAACTGCATTATGGAAATGGTAGAAAAAACCAGGTACTCCATGGCAGTTCTGGGGCACTGTCAGGAATCTAATTGGAAAGAACTCAACTACTGGAAAAGATGACTTAATGAAAAAACAGATGAGGAGAACAGGGACCAAGCTGGTCCCCAGGCAGCATAGCCCTGGGAGTGCAGATTCTCTCAGCAGTGGTAAGGGCAGAGTCTGATGGGAACTCAGAGTAAACATCAGCCTTTGGGTTCCACCTAATATGTGAAATCCATTCTGCTTTAGAGAAAAGAGGTGCTACACTGTGGAGTTAGGGAGAATTGGGTGACTATGAAGAGTAAAGGAAAAATATATGAAGCACTGGTACTTGTATTCAAAAAGTGTTCATCCCCCCCACCCCCAAAAAGAATAAGTTTGATTCATGGGAAGAGGTCAAAATATCAACATTAACAGAAGTTTAGAAGGAGGTGATTCTAGCCCTTTGGATGATTTTGAGAGATTTAAGACATCACTGGAGGAAGTAATTGAAGATGTATTGGGAATAACAAAAGAACTAGAATTAGAAATAGATCCTGATGACTAAATTGCTGCAATCTCAATTAAGTCTTTTATCGGTGAAGATAAGTGCTTATCTTATGGATAAGCAAAGAGATACAATTCACTCCTGGTGAAAATGCTGTGAACATTGTTCAAGTGGCACTAAAAGAGTTAGAATATTACATAAACTTAGTGAATAAAGCAAAAACAGAGCTGACTTCAGTTTTGAGAGTTCTATCAAACAGCATCACCTGCTACAGAGAAATCTTTGTGAAAGGAAGAGCCAGTCAATGCAGCAAAATGGTCTTATTTTAAGAAATTGCAGTGGTCATTTCGGTCCTCAGCAACTACCACCCTGATTGTGAGCAAACCTAAACAGTGAAACAAGACCTTCCACCAGCAAAGAAATTGTGATTCACTGAAGGTTCAGATGATCATTAGCATGTTTTAGCAATACAGTATTTTAAAATTAATGATGGCTTTTCAGCCATAATTTTCAGTCATAATGCTATTGCATATTTAATAGACTATAGCATAGTGTGAACATAAATTTAATAAGCACTGAGAAACCAAAAAAATCCATGTGTCTCACTTTATTATAATATTTGCTTCATTTTGGTGGTATGGAAATAAAACCCCCAATATGCCTTTATACACATACACACTTTTAGGAAGATAGCCTCCAAGATCTCTGTGAGACATATATGAATAAAAATATGCAAAGTTATTAAGGAAAGCAAAATAATTGAACATATACCAGGTTCATAGTTTGTAAAACTCAATGACATAAAGATACAAACCCTGTCCAAATTAATTTACATATTCAATATAATTCTGATCTAAGTCCCAACAAATATTAATAAATTTGATGAGTTGATACAGATAGGTATGTTAATGAGCAAAAATCCACGAATAACCATGACATCCTGAAGATGAGTAAGTTAGGGATACATACATGACCATACCTGAAGATATGTTATAAATCTGTAGTATTAAGATGATGTGGTATGGGGACAGGGAAAGCAAATTGCCTGTGAAATTGCATAGACTCCAGTCAGAATTACACACACACACACACTATATATATATATATATATATATATATACATACACACACACACAGTATGTGTATATATAAACACATAATTATATATGATAAATACAATTATATATATTATGATAGTTTTTATCAGAATTTCCAATTACGTACTTTAAATGATGCTGAGACAACTGGTTATGTGTGTATGTATGTATATGTAGTGTGTGTGTGTGTGTGTGTGGTGTGTATATGTGTATATAATACATATGTATAATAAAAGAAATTGGATACCTACCTTACCACCATATATAGATATAATTTACAGACAGATTGGAGACTAAAGTTTAAAATAAAAAATTTGAAACTTTTAGAAGAAAATACATTGAAATAGACTTTTTAAGCAAGACAAAATACTATCCATAAAATAAAATATTGATAAATGTGACTACATCAAAACTAAGAACTTTTGTATGGGAAAAGATAACATAAGAAAATCAGGAAGAAATAATTTCAGTACAAATAATCCACAAGGGTTTGTATATAGACTAAAATTTTAAACTGCTACAAATCAGTATGAAAAAGGCAAAAGTGCACAAAGTGAGTAAAATAAAAGCTAAAGACATATTTCATTTAAAAAAAAAACTACATAGCTAGTGAATAAATATAGGATAAATTGTTCAACTTTATTAATAAACAGGGAAATTAAAATTAAGAGTACTGTGGGTCTGTCTTATAAACTATAGATTTGGGGAGAGGGACTAAAAGTCTCATTACAATATTAAGTATTGACAATATTACAATATTGGATTTAGCAAAATAGAAATCCCTATTTTTTATTTTTCATTCTAATTTACAGAAGAATGCATTATAATTCATATTACACATACAGAGCACATATTTTCAGATCTCTGGTTGTATACAAAGTATATTCACACCATTCATGTCTTTATACATAATCATAGCATAACTATCTGACATACAGTACAAATATTGGTAGACTGAGGGTAAAAAAAATCAAGGCTCTAATTAAATCTATAATGCTACTTGTCATCATTATTTTATTCCCTGCCAATGAGATTGCAACGATGATGATAATCTGACATAAAAGATGACAATAATCTTTTATCCAAAAGAAAAAATTTAAACTTTCTTTGAGCAGTGTTGATTTTAGATATGTGTCCTAAGGAAATAATAAGTCAAATGTTTAAAGGTATTGCAAAGCGGATCATAACAAAAAGTTAGAAATATACTCTGTGTCCATGAAGAAAGGTTGATGAAAGAAATTATGGTACATCTGTATAGTAGCTAACTTTGGAGACAAAATAGTATAAGAGTTATGAACGTCTTTGAAGGTAAATCTCATTGATCTGAGGCTTCTCTCATCTCTCTCAGAACATCTTGAGTTCCTCTCAGGTCTTCCTTGTTTTCCACTTCTGTCAGTCAGCTATCACTGTGTGACACTGGGTCACATGAGCATTGGAAGGCTCTTGTCTCATGCACCTGAAGAATGAAGTATTCAGACAATGGAGGGTAAGAATTCAGTAGCGGATTTACTAGAAGCAAGCAAGGAAAGCTCCCACCGCATGGGAGGGGCACTGTCAGTGGCTCTTTAGGGATTTTTATATTGTTTTGATGAAGGACTAACCTTTCATTGGAGAGTCCTCCTTGATCTCTTTCTCTGATTCAATTAAAGATGTACAATTTTAATTTCTTATTCCCATAATGGGATGATTTATGTGTTTGTTAATCTGAATTTGCCCTGTATTTGTTCCATAAAACGAAAAGTTGCTTGGGTTTAAAACAGCTTCTTGGGGTTGACTAATGGTAGGGTAGTGGGGCCTTCCAGATAGGGAGTTTAAAACCAACAACAAAAAAGCTTTAGCGAGATCAAAATTTAGGGTTTTAATCTGGGGTGGTGGTCCTGTGTCAACTATAATAATCTTAAAATCTCAGTGGCATGCAACAGTAAGCATGTATTTTTCACTTGCATGTTTGCAGGGTAACTGAAGCAGCTCTACTTTAGGCTACTATGGCTAGAACAGCTCACTTCACACTATGGCTGGCTAGCCAGAGAATCTTCTCATCATGACAATCACAGAAGCACAAGAGAGTGAGAGATAATGTGTGAAGCTTCCTTAGAACTTCCAGATCTTGCCCAGCACAGTGGTGCATGCCTATGATCCCAGCAACTGAGACAGGAGGATTGCAAGTTTGAGCAACTAAATGAGACTTTGTCTCAAAATAAAAAAAAAAAGGGTCTGGGGATATAGCTCAGTGGTAAAGTACCCTGGGTTCGATCCTGTATACAAAAACAAAAACAAAATAAATTCTGGTTCTAAGCTAGTAGTGCAATGTTGTTTCCACCCACATTCCAGTCTAGTGAAAATCACACAGATGAGCCATAGTCAAGAGTCAGGGAGGTATCCTCAGCCTCTCATGGGGCTATGAAGACAGTGTAGACTGAGGTGAAAAAAATCAAGGCTGTAATTAAATCTGTAATGTTACTTGTCATCATTTTTTTATTCCCTGCCAGTGAGATTGCTACCCAAGTTCCTCTTGCATTTATTCAACTCATTCTAGTTTCTTTTTATCTCCCTTTATTTCTTGACAGACTGCCTAAAAACTTCTCTATATCTTTACAACCCTACCTCAGGAACCAACTCACTTTGGTGGCACAGAGTTTTCTAAATCTACTGTAAAGCTTCCTTCTTAGGGATATTTCCTAAGGAATAGGTAGGAGTTATTTGTCTTTGCCACCATATTTACATTAAACATTTAATTTTGGGCTGGGGTTGTGGCTCAGCTGTAGAGCAGTTGCCTAGCATGTGCGAGGCCCTGGGTTAGATCCTCAGCACCACATAAAAATAAATAAAATAAAGGTATTGTGTCCAACTACAACTAAAAAATAAATATTTTAGAAAAACATTTAATTTCTTTGCATTTGGCCAAGATAAACAGTACACACTCATGATATCTTAAGCTCATAATCAGGAGGATGGCATTTTACATCTTTTTGCTAAAATGGAACACTAATCCTTCCTACTCCCCAGAGGAGCAAAGGCTGGCTTTGTATTAAGGGAACTCTCAAATGTGAGCAACTCTTTATATGCCTCATGAAAGTTGACATAGGATCTTCTGGGTTCAAATGATCGAACATTAGCCAGGCCTTGAACCAATTATTAAAGTGGTGTTTTTCATAGTTTAATCCTAAGAAACAGAGGAAGAATAATCAAAATAAAATGTCATTAAAACTTTAGCCCTTCCCCTGGATTTAAGAGTTCATAACCCCAAACCAGAACTTCACACTGAGAGAGATGGGCTAAGGAACAGGAGAATGGGGAGTACATGCTTCAAGAATTAGGGATAGGGCTGGGTTATGGCTCAGTGGTTGAACGTTTGCTTACCTCATAAAAACAAAACAAAATAAAGGTATTGTGGCCTTGGATGTAGCTCAGTGGCAAAGCCCTGAGTTCAACCCCCAGTAAAAAAAAAAAAAAATAACCCCACCAAAATAATAATAATAATAATAATAATAATAATAAAAGGTATTGTGTCCATCTAAAACTAAAAATATATATTTATATATGTAAAGAATTAGGGATGTACTTCCCAGAAAATGGTCATGATGAAAGTGGTCAGAAAAGGCGATTTCCTTCCTCTTTTCTAATCTTGGCTCCAAATCCCCAGTAAAACTTCTTTGGTGTCTTGCATGTTTCAGATTTTACTGCTCACCAGCTTGGAGGTGATATGTGGCTCTTGACAGCTCTGCTCCTTTGGGGTAAGTTGGGCTCAGAGAGGGTGGGCTAGACGGGCATGGATTCTGGCTTTGGATCAACATTTTTTGTCTTCCTTGGATATGTTGGGTTAGAACTCATGAGTATAAAGATAATTGTATCTGTGCTTTGATGCTTTATTGGTGCTTATTATATCAAAAGGGTGGGAAGGGGGACCCTGAGATACAATTAGACTGAAAACCCCATATCAAAATAAAGTTTCATCAATAATCATCAGTTCTGCTGGTACTTGATATTTGGAAAGAGGGATAGTTTAAGTCAAGAGACCTAAACTGGCCCCCCAGAGTCTACATTAGCTCTGTCTCTCCAATTCTTCCTGTCTCATCATCTCCCACTAATCACCTGATGTCTCTGTTCTCCCATCCTTTGCAGTTCCAGTTGGTGGGCAAGTGGGTAAGTGATCGCTACCTCAGATTCTCCTCTTATGCCATTGTCTTTCTTCCAAAGGATGAGTTCCATTAACCTAAAGAAGAGAGAATAGAGAGAGCATAGACAGAAGAAAGACTTATAAACTATGTATATGCAGAGTGTGAAATGATTTGTCAGTTTTCTTTCCAAGGCTTCTAAGGCTTTCTGAATGAGCCCCGACTGAGGCCCTAAATGCCTAAATGTGCTTATGAGAGCGGAAATGGCCAGAATTGCGAAAACACAAAGGCAGCTGGGCTGGGTTTTCAACATCCCTCGGGGCAATCCCTGTTACAAGAAAGCTAAATCAGTTTTTTCTCCTCAGAGAGAGCCAGGCAGGTACTGAAGGCTTCAAAGGGAGGCATTTGAGCCTCCATTTCCAAAGCAGAAGCCTATGAAGGTCTGTGCTTTACCCTCAGAAACAGTATAACCCTGAGGACAAGGACACTGACCCCTGACAGTCTGCACTGGTTTAGAACTTGCTTCACTAGGAGAATTAGGAAGATCTAAATCAGTAATCCATCCTCAGGAACCCCAAATCTCTAACACCCCAATTAGGATTTAATAATAAAAACAGAGCTCTCTACAGCAGGAGCTCGACACTTTTAAAGTCTGGCTCTTGTGGGCTCCTGCTTGCCTATTTTTTAAACTAATCTAAATACACAACTTTTCCTTGTGCTGTCCACAAAACCTCACCAACCACTCGGAGCCCTTCCTTTCACTCCACTTTTTGTTTTGCTTTGGTTTTATCCCCAAGCAGACCCCACAAAGGCAGTGATCACCTTGCAGCCTCCGTGGGTAAGTGTGTTCCAAGATGAACAGGTCACCTTATTGTGTGAGGGGCCACAACGGCCTGGAGACAACTCCACACGGTGGTTTCTCAACGGCACAGCCATTCAGACCTTGACCTCCAAGTACAGCATCACTGCAGCGAGGGTCAGTGAGAGTGGTGAATACAGGTGCCAGACAGGTCTCTCAGTGCCAAGTGACCCTGTGCAGCTGGAAATCCGCAGAGGTGAGTGTGGCATGGAGCAGGAGGGATGGAAATCACAGGGCCTTCCTGTGTGTTCTCCTGTGCACCAACAGCAGCCCAGTGGGGCCAGCTGTGAGTAGGGTGTCCAGAGGAAAATGCAGACTCTAATATTTTATCGTTAGTTGACATTTATGCCATCACATAGTAAATAATGATAGTTCAGACAAACGTACAATGATAAACAGTGAAAAGTCTCCCTCCAACCCCAAAATCCTAGTCCCACAGTCACCTTCCACTAAAGCAAAACTATTAATATATATGTAAACTTTTTTATATGGTACTGGGGATTGAACCCAAGACATTGTGAACACTCTACCACTGAGATACACCTCCAGCCCTATATCTAAACTTAAAATTAAAACTGTGATTGTTAGGGGCTGGGGTTATAGCTCAGTGGCAGAGTGCTTGCCTAGCATGTGTGAGGCCCTGGGTTCAATCCTCAGCACCACATAAAAATAAATAAATGAAAGGAAGGAAGGAAGGAAGAAAGGTATTGTGTCCAACTATAGCTAAAAGACAAATATAAAAAACTGTGATTGTTAGAATACTCTATGTATTGTCTTATATCTTGCTTTTGTCACCGAAAAAGGAGGTCTGTTTATATTAATAAAGAAGTCTTCTACATGTCTGCTCTATGACTGTAATATGAGTAATGTAACCATTCTGCCTATTAGTACTAAGGTTTTCCTACTCTTCTACTTCTATAAACAGTACTGCAATAAACATCTTATACATAGAGTCTGTGGCCCATTTCAAAGTGTAGTTCTAAGATATTCTAGATGTGGAATTACATGAGACTTTAATGAATAGAAGCAGGAAAATAAACCTGCCACCCTTTTCAATCTGTAGCAAATTTCTATTTCCTAGAGATGGAGGGGGAAATGTTTTATTACTCAGGACAAAACACCCAAATGTATTATTTAGTTAGTCAAAAGCAATAAGCTCAAACTTCTTTGTAATTGATAATGCCAAAGGTAATGCATGTTAGCGGCAGAATCACATGTAAGCAGACTCAGTTGCTTTCAGAGGAAATGTGATCTAGTTGAGGAAGTGTTGAGAATGTCTAGGGAAAGCTAGGTGTTCTTCCTGTGTCCCTCAGGACTCTGGGAATAAGTTCTTAAGATGCAGATATGAGGGGAGAAGCCAGGGAGCTGACAGAGATATTTCAACAAGAGATTTTGTGTAGTTTGAGCAGAAGCAGAAGTTTTTCTTGGGTCAAGTGACCAAAAAAAAAAAAAAAAAAAAAAAAGACTAGGCCTGTGAAGAGCCCATTTTCTTTCTTTCTTTGAAGGAGAGCTCACATGTAGCAAACCCTACTCACAGCTGGCCGGCCCTCTGGGCTGCTGTTGGTGCACAGGACCTAAGTGCACATCTCAGTGAATGGCCACCATGTAAACGCCTCCCAGAGCAAGAAACAGAACATTTCCAGAACCAAGAAACTTCTTCTTGCCCTTTTCTAGTCACTACTCCCCAAGACCGACTTCACATAAATGGCTACAGTATGGTACCTGTCATGCTCTTTTGTGTCTGGCTTCTTTTTGTCAACATTAAAATTGTGAAATTTACACATGTTGTGAAGTTGAAGTTCACAGTTCTCATTACTTATTTATATTTTTCTATTCTACTGATAGATTCTTGAGTTGTTTCCAGCTTGGGCTTTTTACCAATAGTACTGCTATGGACATTTTTTTACATGTCTTTTGGTGCACATAGATATATGTATCTGTTGGAAAATGCCTAATAGTGTACTTGCCAGTCACGAAATATGTACGTAATCAACTTTAGTAGATATATTGCTAAACAGGTTTTCAGAGTCCTAATACCAATTTTTGACTCTGACAGTATGAGAAGTTTTGTTCCTCTCCATCTTTATCAGTATTAGGAGTTTTCTGTATTTTTCATTTTTGCCATCCTGGTGGAGGTATAACAATATCACACTATGGTTTTAATTTGTATTTCCTTGATGACTATGCTATTGACTATTTTTTCACATATTTATTACCTATTTGGATATTCTCTTTTGTAAAGTATCTAATAAGGTCTTTTCACCAATTTTTCTTTTGTCTTTTTCTTATCGACTTATATAGTTCTTTATTTGTTATGGCTATGAGTCAAGTGTTGCAATTATCTTCTACCACTCCATGGCTTGCCTTTTCACTACCTTTGTTTGTTTGTTTGTTTAATGAACAAATGGTCTTAATTTTATTACAGTACAATACACCAAGTTTGGGGGCTGTTGTTCCCTATGCCTTATTTTTAAAAACACTTTTTTCCACAATTATTCAACAGTGGGGGATTCAGTTACAGTTACATTGATGGTCAGTCACTTCAGTTAAATCTGTGGACACTGAGACCAAGAAATACAGCTGATTGGTGGACCCAGGCCTACCCATGTGGCTTGGAATGAATGTCCTCTTTCTACTTCAAGGTCATGAACGTGGAGGAATAGTGTTTGAGTGGGAAAATTAGTAGAATATGTCTGCTAAAAGCTGCATCCCACAAATTTTTGATGAAATATTCTCAGTGTCATAAGTTAGAATTTTAAAATTTCTATTGTGATTTCTTTCTTTTTTGTTACTTCTAAATTATTTACAAGATTTTGGAGAGTGGCTTTATTGGTTACTAACTGTATAACATTTTAGTCAGATTTTGTGTAAAATATAGGATCAGTTTCTTGGTATTTGTTGAAAATTGCTTTGTCGCTTAGCACATGCTCAATTTTTTAACTGTTGCATGTATGTTTGAAAAGTATATGAATCTTCTCTTTTCTGTGGTGCAGCAGTCCACAAAATCAAATCTGTTAATTGTGTCATTCAAGCATTCTCTAATATCACTAGTGTTTTGGCAGTTTCTGATGGAGGTGTGTCAAAATCTCCCACTGTGCTTTGCATATGTAAAGCAAAGATGTGTGTTTGAGTAGTGCAGTCATTTAGCATGTCTTGGTTGGGAATGAAAATAAAGACAGGAAGAGTCTGATATATTTAGAAACAGTATAGTGGGATCCATGAGTGTTATTGGATATAATTATCATGAATTATTGTCATGCTACATACAGCATTGGAACACCTGCCTTCTATTCTTAGATCTAAGTTCTGGAGGGTGGAAAATTATATTGTCTCTCCTCCTTTTACCCCAGGGATTTCATCTTTATTGAGCCAAACCAATTGTCCCTGGGGAAGGAAAAAAATAAAGGTGCAGAGTTGTGACTCACTGGTGACATCTTAGAATTCTTGACTCAATCAATTTCTCAGATCTGGAAAGGGAAGATAAGAAAGGGCTTTGTGCACAGCTTCTGGTAAAGATTACCTTTCTTTCTACCAAAGCGAAAGATATTTGAGGAATGAGACACAGGCCTCAGATTTAGCCGAGTTCTGAATTTGGAATGTTGCAAGGAGAAAATGATAGGTCCCCAGGGTGAAGATTTGGCCTTCTTGTACCTCCTTCACTATATGCATACATTTGTGGTCCACATTTTTCAGATTGGCTGCTACTCCAGATCTCTAGCAGAGTCTTCACTGAAGGAGAACCTCTGACTTTGAGGTGTCATGCATGGAAGAATAAGCTGGTGTACAATGTACTTTTCTACCAAAATGGCAAAGCTTTTCAGTTTTCTCCTCTGAATTCTGAACTTACCATTCAGAAAACCAACACAAGTCACAATGGCATCTATCACTGCTCAGGCATGGGAAGACATCGCTACACATCAGGGGGAGTAACCGTCACTGTGAAAGGTACTGTACCTGAACAGTTCTAGAACTATAGTTGTAAGGACCAGAGAGAATGAAAATCATCTAAAAATCTCACTTAAATTTTTAAGTGAAGAAACTGAGTTCTAGAGTGGCAAATTGCATCACTGAAGGCCACCAATGACCAGTAGCTTGGTTAGGACCAGAACTGAGGTCTCTAGGTCCCAGTCCATTGCTCTTTCCAATATATCACAGTGCCCTATCAATAACTGCAGGAGTTAATGTCAAAGTCAGGGCATAGGAAAGATTCATTTCATTAATTTTGTTTTAGTCACAAAGAATAGAGATTCACTCAAGGTGGCTAAGGAAGTTATTAGAAAATAATCCAATGGAATTTCATGAATACATCAGGAATTTCATGAAAGGAAAACATTAGGAATCGGTCAGCCTTCCATCTGTCTCAGGGACATTGTGGCCCTTCTGTCCCACTTCTTTCTAAGCATCTGTACATGAAACAGCTTCCCGTGTTCTAGTTTCCACATGGCCCTTATTCTCATTCTTCCATGGTCTTTTTTCTTAGTATTCACAATCAGTAGCAACTTTTTTTCTGTCTGAAAAAAAAAGTCCCTTCCTGTAGGAAAGAAATTTTACTGACCCAGATTTTCTTTTGAGTCAGGGACACAAGTGTGATTCATTAAACTCCCTGGGTAGACTGTGCCAAAGGTATGGTTATATTATAAACAAATGGCCATTCAGGGAAGCATGAACTGTGTAGAGTATTATCAACAGGACGGGAGCAAGCTGGCAACCGTGATTATGTATATTAGAAAAACCCAAGAATGCGTCTCTGTTACAGATGGGAAAAAATATGCCTTATGGATGCATTCTCTTGGGGCAAGTTTCCCAAGGGGTTGGGAGGGTATGTCTTTTGTGAAAAGAACCTTAACCTGGGGGTGCTCTACCACTGAGCTGCAACCTGTCCCCATCACGTTCTCTTTAGAGCTATTTTCAGTTCCTGTGCTGAGAGCATCCTTGTCACTCCCCCTCCTGGAGGGGAACCTGGTCACCCTGAGCTGTGAAACCACGCTGCTCCCAGAGAGGGCTGGCTTGCAGCTGTACTACTCCTTCTACATGGGCAGCAAGACCCT